GCCCTTTTGGGGGCAGGAAGCTCTCCAGTCCCAGCCACGCTGCCTGCTCTTAGGGAGGAGGGCTCGTTCTGGTGCTTCCCTTAGGGGAGCATCCACAGAACACCCCTAATACCGGGGGTTCCCGATGCACACAAGGGAACAGCAGCGCTCCCTGGGCCAGGATGCTCGCTCCATTCCCTATGGATCCGAGCCGGGGCCCGCTCCTCACCCCCGCCGTGCCCAGCGTTAAGCGCTCGGCTCCCTCCCTGCCTTCCCTTGGGGACAGCGGGGTCCCCGCACCCCCCTGCCCACGCCGCCCCCGAGGCCTCACCTTGCCCGACGGAGCCCTCCCGGCGCTACCGGAGCTGCGGCTGCCCCCGGGCCGCCGCCATCGCGGTCCCGTCCCCTCCTCGCTCAGGGCCCTCAGTCGCCGCCGTCCGACCGGACAAACGGGTTCCGCCGCTCCGCAGCGCCAGGGGAGGAGGCCCCGGAGCCGCTCACTCACGGCCCCGCCTCGGACCCGCCGTTAACGGGAGGGGAAGGGGAGGGGGGGAGCAGCGGGGACAGCCCCGGCCTCGGCCCCGGCCCCTCGGGAACGGCCCCGCCGCGGGACACAGGAGAGGGGCTCAGCAGCGCTGAGGGGGCGGCACCAGCCCTGGCTCCATCCCCGGCTCCATCCCCAGCTTCATCCCTGGCTCCATTGCCAGCTCCATCCCTGTGTCCCCAGCTCCATCCCCAGCTCCATCCCTATGTCCCTGGCTCCATTGCCAGCTCCATCCCTGTGTCCCCAGCTCCATCCCCAGCTCCATCCCTATGTCCCTGGCTCCATTGCCAGCTCCATCCCTGTGTCCCCAGCTCCATCCCCAGCTCCATCCCTGGCTCCATTGCCAGCTCCATCCCTGTGTCCCCAGCTCCATCCCCAGCTCCATCCCTGGCTCCATTGCCAGCTCCATCCCTGTGTCCCCAGCTCCATCCCCAGCTCCATCCCTGTGTCCCCAGCTCCATCCCTGTGAGGCCATCTCCATCCCCAGCCCCTCCCATCCCTGTGTCTCCAGCTCCATCCCCAGCTCCATCCCTGGGTCCCCAGCTCCATCCCCAGCTCCATCCCCAGCTCCATCCCTGTGTCCCCAGCTCCATCCCTGTGTCCCCAGCTCCATCCCCAGCTCCATCCCTGTGTTAAGGGACCCCAGCTGTGGTGGTGCCTGGCACAACCCAAGCCCACATCAATGGGGGTTGTGGCAATGGCCACCACCATCAGTGTATCTCGGGAGAGGCAGGACGTGTTTGAAGTGGCAGGATTCCTTTATCCCATCTTGGTTACTTTATTCCACCTTCACAATGTGCTTCCTGTGCAGTGGGACAGGGGAGACTGGGGGGTTTTGTGGCCTTTAACCTTAGGAGGGATTTGAACCCTTTGTAAAGGGTCAGAGTGGGCTCCCGGCTCCCCAGCCCTTTGAGGGAGGGGATGCTCAGACACTGACCCCAATGACCATCCCTCTGCAGTCCTTCTCACTGTGTTCTCCTTGTTCCAGGCCTGCAGAGCCCTCAAGGACCCGATGGCAACGCCTGTGACCAGCTCCAACTGTAAGTGCTTGCCCATTGAGCACACATGGGGCCACCCCATGCCTGCAGCCCTGGGGCCATCCTGCAGCACCAGCACCAGCAGCCTCATCCTGCTGGTCCATCCATGCAGGATGGATGCTGAGCAGCGCACAGCATGGGGCTCAATGCACCCCGAGCACGGGTTTGGGGTTTTCAGGGCTTTGGGGCCCTGCTTTTGCTATTTGCGGGGTTCCTTCCTCCTCCAGAAGCAGCCCCCACAATGGGGACAAGGCATTGACTGGGGTGTCCCATCACTTGAAAGCAGCTCCACCTGAGCTCAAACTGTCCCCATTGAGCAAGCCAAAGGGGAAGTGGTTTCTGCCTCCCAGTTCAGGTGTTGGGATTGAGCAGGTGTAGAAGCAGGGCATAGAACTTGTGTGGGTTTGAATGGATCCACATCAGATCCCTGCTCCCCTGCTGCAGGATGAGCTGCTCTGAGTGTGCTTGATGGGGCTGAGAGCCCTGGGGAGCCAGACCCTGCTCCCTGGGGATGCTGCTCCGCATCCAATGCTCTTGGTTTGGGCCTCGCAGGCAGGGAGGCGGTGCCTTGGTGCACCCTGCACTCCTTTGCTGTCCCTACCCCTAAATGCAACGCTGGGTTTGGTGTCTTTGAGCCCCTGCCTCTCTCCCTGCCTGCCTCCAGTGCCTTCATATGGGATAAGGGAACCCTTGGGCTTCCAAAGCAGCCCCCCCATCCACTGCAGGGCCAGTTCTGCTTGGCTCCATCTCTTGTCCCTTTCAGGGTGAGGATCATTAGGGGTAAAGATGCCTTTAACAGTGCTGTGTCCTAAATACTCCATTGGCCACATCAAGTGCTGGCCCATGCTGGAGGGGGACGCAGCTCTCCTATGGAGGAGCTGCTGCTGCTCACCCACCGAGCTCAGGTACCTCCTTCTGGACCCTTCCCCTTGCATTGCTCAGCACCCCAAACCTGGCACGGGAATAGTTGTTACTCCACAGGCTGACAGTTGGCCTTTGTTTGCTGGGCCCAGAGTAAGCTGAGAAGAGGCTGGGATGGCATCACTTCCACCCTGATGGGTATCTCAGCCCTTCTTCAAAGGGGATTCAGACACAGAGGCATGCAGAAAACATGGACAGGAAGAGGAGCCACAGCGTTCCCTGTTCCCTGCTGAATGAATCGGGTCGGGATGGGAACAAACCTGCTCTAGAGGTGGGCTCTGAGGTCCCTTCCATCCCCATCCCTCTGGGATTCCATGTTTCCTGCCTGCTCCTGCCTTAGCAATTGGATGCATCTGCATCCCTGGCAGCATCCGAAGCCAGGCTGGACCAGACTTGGAGCAAGCTGCTCTAGTGCAAGGTTTTCCCTATTGGAACTGGGGCAGAAAGGCCTCCCTTGTCCCAAAGCATTCCCATATGGATGCAAGGAGAGGGATCAGTGGGGTGTGATGGAGCTGTTTGAAACAGCCCCTTCTGCTTCCCGGAGCCCCATCAAAGGGGGCTGCCTTTGCAGGCCCCCATCTTCTCCCTTACATCCCATCTCCATCTCCCCCCTGGCTTAGCTTAAAGCCATCCCCAGTGTCCTGCCCCTACACCCCTGGTCCAAAGCCCCCCTCCTGGAGCCCCTGTAGGCCCTGGAGCTGCTCCCAGCCTGGCTCCAGAGCAGCAGCTCCGTGGCCTCCTCTGGACTGGCTCCAGCTGGGGATCAGATTCCCTGTCCTCAGGTGTGTGCAGCTCCCAGGGACACAGACAGCTCTGGGAGGGGTGATTCTACCTCCTGAGGGGCTGCTTTCACTGGGCACACCTGTGGGTCCCTCTGCTTCCAATGGGAATGGGGCAAGGACAAGGCCCAGCTTCCCCATTGCTCCCAGCTGGAATGGGAGCAGGCCTTCGGTGCCCTGGAGGCAGAGCGGGAGAGATGCTCATCAACAGGGCAGGGATGTGGGTGCCAGCCTTGGGATTCCAATGGGATGCTCCTTGGGGCTGGAATGAGCTCAGCTTGGACACAGAAGGGGGAGCTGGTACCCGGAGCTGCCGTCCCCACATCAGCCCAGTGAAAGCCTCTGGTGTCCGGTGCGGGTTCCACGGCTCCACAAGAGCCAGATGAGGGAATTCCCTATGGGAAAAGCCATTGGAGAGCATCCACCAGGGAGCGTGGGCCTTCCCATTGCACTGGGTGTGTGCTGGGATGCGGGCTCGGGATCCTCGTGCTCGTTCCCTAAAGAGCATTTGGGGTTTAGGCTGTGTCAAGCCAATCCCAGGCAGCCCAGAGCATCTGCCTGCAGGAAGCTGATGGTTTCCATGGCAGTGGGGTGAAAGGAGGAGGGATTGGCACTGGGAATGCTCTCCAGGGTTACTGTGCCCTTCCGAGCACCTTCTCCCAGTGTTTGAGCACAGTGAAGGCCAGCCGGAGAGCAAACAATGGGATCGGCAAAGGGTAGAATGGGTACAGGTAGGGAAAGCAGCCTCAGCCCCTTCCCTGGGGGTGCTTGGGGTGACAACACCCAGCAGTGTCCAGTGAGGGTTTCTGTATCCTTGCGGATGCTATTCCCAGGAGAATGGGGAAGCAATCCCGCAGGGTCTGACCCAGAGAGGGTTTGTGTTAGTGGATTACCTAACTGTTGTGGGGACCCGGGTGATGGGGAGCCCAGGGAGTGGGGTGAGGAGCCCATGGTTTATGACATACCTGCCCCAGGCAGAGCTGCTGATGGGAGACACCCCTGAGGACAAAGGCCTCCCAGCTGTACTTTAGCAGGCTGCCATTGCGGCCGGGCAGAGGTCAAACCCACCCTTCCTTCCTGCCGGCCCCAGAAACAGGGCTCTCCCCGTTCCCTTTGGCCCTGTGGGGCAGCCGCCGGGGCCCAGGTACCCGAGCCGAGCTTGGGGTGCCGGGCACCGGGGCTGGGACCGCGGGCCCCTCCAAACCAAAGCGTCCCATGGGGCTGTGGGTGACTCCCGGCGCTGGCTGAGCTGAGGTGTGGGTACCAGGGGAGGCCCCAGCCCCGAACCGAGCCGATGGGAGCCGAGCCGGGCCGGGCCGAACCGAGCCCAGCCGAACTGAGCTGGGCCGATCGGAACCGAGCCGATGGGAGCCGAGCCGGGCCGGGCCGAACCGAGCCCAGCCGAACCGAGCCGGGCCGATCGGAACCGAGCCGATTGGAGCCGATCGGAGCCGCCCCCCCCTCTCCCCACAGCGCCCCCCAGGCCCCGGCGGTGCCCGCGCGAGGGCGGGGCGGGGCTGGCAGCGCCGCCCCCCGCGCTTTGTGCCCGTGCTCGCGCTACCGGAGCCTCCCGCGCCTCAGCCCGCGCCGGCCGCCGCCCGTCGGGAGCGCGCGTTCCCGCGGCCGCGCTGCGCCTCAGCCGGTGCCGGCGGGAGCGCGGGCGGGCCCCAGCGCCGCCCCCGGCCGCAGCCTTCAACCGCCCCCCCTCCCCCCCCCCGCGGGCCAGCAGGCAGCGGCGGCGGCAGGAAGAGGAGGAGGAGGCGGCGGGCGGCGCGCCTGGGCCGGGCCCGGCCCGCGGAGCCCCCGGTGGGGAGCGGCTCCATGGCGACCGCGGCGGTGGAACCGGTCTATGGGCTCTCGGAGGATGAGGTGAGGGGGGCCGGGGGCGGCGGGGGCGCGTTCGTGTGCCTTCGTGTGCGCTCGTGTGCGTTTGTTTGCATTCGTGTCCATTCGTGTGCGCTCGTGTGCGCTCGTGTGTGTTCGTGCGCGCACGTGACGTGCCCTGGAGCAGCCCCGGGCCGGGCCCGCCCGCGCTCGCCGCCGCCGCCATGGCGGGGTTGGGGTCCGCTGCCCCCCCCCCCTCCCCGTGAGCGGGCGAAGGTCGAGGGTCGGTCCCGGCGGGCGCCGCCATTCCCGGCCCTGCCCCCGGGGCCTGCAGCGGCCGCCGCTGGGTGCCGTTGGGTGCCGCTGGGGAGGCCCGGCCGGGGGGCATCGGTTCCGGGGTGCGGTTTGCGGGTGTCCGCCGTTAGCATCAGGTTGGGCTCGGCCATGGGGCTCCCTGTTGTGGTTGAGCAGCGCCGGCTGTGGCTGCGCCGTCGCATTCCCATTGGGAAGGAGGTTCCGTGCTGGGTTTTCCTGCGGGGGGGTGAAGCCTTGGCTCCCTCCCTGTTCCCTGGCGGGGAGCGCGCTCTGGCCGGCTTCCATAGGCAGGAATGCCGCAGGTAGGCTGGGAATGGTGCCCGGGGCTGGCCCCATGCTGCTGCTCTGGGGGTACCCTCGGAGCAGTGCGGGGGGGGTCCTTGTGTCCCTGTTGGTGCTGGGTGGATGCGGAGCCGGCTCCAGGCACAGCAGGAAGGGGGTGGGGAAGCATCGGCAGCTGCTGCGGAGCCCATAGGGAAGGGGGGCACGGGGGGAAAGGCAGGTTCATTGCACCCCGATGTAGCTCGGTGTCCCCAAGGGACGCGTGCCCTGATGGGGGGTGATGGGCGCCGGGCCTTGCCTGCTGCCCCTACAACGGTCAGAGCCTTCCCGTGGCCATGGGGTCTCCATCATTGGGGATGGGAGGCGTTGGGCATCCAGCACCCATCCCTGTCCCTGGGGATGCTCTTGGCCGGCATGCCCAAGAGCCATGGGATGGGCTGGCCGATGGAGGGCGCTGTGTGCTGGGAATGGGAGCTCCTGGGAAGGAAGCATGGAATGAGCCCCCCCATCTTCTGAGCCAAGCCTCCAGTGCCGGCTTCCCTTGGGAATGAGGGGCAGCAAGGGGATCAAGGGGAATGGGGAGATTGGGATGCGCAGCCCCTGATCCCAAAGGATGAGCTTAAACCCAGTGGCATAGGAACAGGAGAGCAGGAGGGATGGAGCATCCATCCCCTTCAGAGGCATTGCCCTGCCTACATCCTGGAATTCCAAGTGCAGTGTACCACCTGTAACCCACAGTGTGCATGGGGTTTGCCCAATCCCACTGGTTTCCATTGAGGAACGGGCCCTGGAGCGTGTCTGTTAGCTCAGATGGGGATCCCTCCCCATATCCATAACGGGAATGGGCAGAATCCTTTGGGATTCCCCCAGGGATGATCCATGCAAATCCCTGGTGGGACCTTGGGAACGCTGCTCCCATCGCAGCGTGCTGTGGATGCTGCAGGGATGGATGGCGCTTACTGCGGGGCCTATGGGGCTGGGATCAGAGCAGTGGGGCCATGGGGTATCCCGCCCCATCTGAACCCATAGTGAATGGGTCTAACCCCGTTATCCTTGTCCTCGGCAGGAGGAGTCTCGCATCCTCAGGGTGAAGGTGGTGTCCGGCATCGACCTGGCCAAAAAGGACATCTTTGGAGCCAGGTACGGGGTCTCCCTTGTGTCAGGGGCAGAGCCTCCCCATCCAGGCCAGGAAGCTGCACTTGCAATGACACCAGAGCGTGTTATGGGGTCGTGGAGCCCGCAGGGCACAAACCCCTCTGTTCCCATTGGTTTCCAGTAAGGCTGCTGGAAAGGGGGGCTCAGTGCTGGGATGCAGGTGGGTGCTGAGCCTGGGCATCGGCATCCCTGGCAGCAGGCTCCGTGTGTCCCATGGCCCCAGGGCTGTGTGTGTGATGGATGGGGACGCCAGCCCCGTTCAATGGCAGGGAATGAGCTGGGGAAGGGAAGGGGAGCTGCTCCCTGCAAGGGGTGCTCTGTTTGGGGTCACATCCGTGGTGCCTCACCCCTAAATCCGTGCTCAATGGGAGCAGCTCCCAGTTGGGATGAGGGGGTATCCGCCTTGGATAATGGGTGCCCATCATTCCATGGGTATAAGCTTGGATGAGAGGCCTGGGTAACACTGGGCTTGCAATGGGGGCAGTGGGGACAGGGGTGAGCCCGCGGGTACCCGGGTGCAGGGGGGCCCTAAGGGGGGGAATGGGGAAAAGCCGCTGCTTCCTGCCCGCTGTTCCCTGCCCTGGCTCATGGGAAGCTGGCCCAGGTGGGATGGGGGGATGCTGTGGGTAACATGGGTGCTGTGGGGGATGCTGGGGATGCTATGGGTCATGTGGGTGATGCTGTGGGTGATGCTGGGGATGCTGTGGGTAACATGGGTGCTGTGGGGGATGCTGGGGATGCTATGGGTCATGTGGGTGATGCTATGGGTGATGCTATGGGTGATGCTATGGGTGATGTGGATGCTGTGGGTAACATGGGTGATGCTGGGGATGCTGTGGGGGATGCTGTGGGGGATGCTGTGGATGCTATGGGTCATGTGGGTGATGGTGTGGGTGCTGTGGGTGATGCTGAGGATGCTGTGGGTGATGCTGGGGATGCTATGGGTCATGTGGGTGATGGTGTGGGTGCTGTGGGTGATGCTGGGGATGCTGTGGGTGATGCTGGGGATGCTATGGGTCATGTGGGTGATGCTGTGGATGCTGTGGGGGATGCTGTGGGTGATGTGGGTTCTGTGGGTCATGCAGTGGATGATTCTGTGGATGCTCTGGATGATGCTGTGGGGGATGCTCTGGGTGATGCTGGGGATGCTGTGGGTGATGTGGTGGGTGATGCTGTGGGTGATGCTGTGGGAGGTGCTCTGGGTGATGCTGGGGATGCTGTGCGTGATGCTCTGGATGATGCTGCGGGTGCCAGCCCAGTGCATCCCCATGGGGCGCTGTGTTGCAGGCCCCAGGCAGCCAGGATGCTGCTGCTGCTGCTGTTGCTGGGCAGAGGAGCAGCAGGGAGCAGGACCCCTTCCATGCATGAACCCCGTTTATGCAGGGCCAGGCCAGGGGGATTGGCTCTGAAGCAGTGAAACTGGGGCTGTGCTGGTGTCTGTGTAAGGAGAGTGTCCCTGTGGGGCAGGAATGGGCTGGGAATGGGCAAACTGGGGGGTGTGCAAAGGATGCAGTGGGGTTAAGGGGTCCTTCCAGCCAGGGACCCCCAGAGCATCCGGCCTAGGGCAGCGCAGTGCAGGCCTTAGGGTGCTGAGGGCAGGGTGCGGGCTTGCAGCCCTGGGATGCTCCCATGGACACCCACTGGGTGCCCTGCCCATAGGGACCAGTTAGAGGTTCCCTTGTGTGTGATCCCTATGGTGGGAGCTGGGGGTGTGGAGTTCCCACTGCGTTCCCAGCCTGGGCCTATGGACTGAGTGCATTGGGTTGGCTTCGGGCTGGCTCTCAGGGCTCAAGGGGAGTGGGAGACAGTGGGATGGAGGGAATGGTGCCTCTGGCAGGGCAGTCCCTGCACAGCAGCCTCCGGGAGGAGCAAGGGCTTGGGGCTCCGAGGGCACAGGTGGGGTACAGGCAGGGACATGGAGCCTGCAGCGTTCCCTGCACCCCATCCCTGTCCCTTTCCTCTCTGGAAAGCAGCAGGAACAGGGAATTCCGCCAGGGAAAGTGGCTGTAGGGCTGTGAGTGACAGTGGTTCCTATGGGGGATGCTGTGGGTGATGCTGTGGGTGATGCTGTGGATGCTATGGGTCATGTGGGTGATGCTGTGGGTGATGCTGGGGATGCTGTGGATGCTATGGGTCATGTGGGTGATGCTGGGGATGCTATGGGTGATGCTGTGGATGCTGTGGGTCATGTGGGTGATGCTGGGGATGCTGTGGGTCATGTGGGTGATGCTATGGGTGATGCTGGGGATGCTGTGGGTGATGCTGCGGGTGATGCTGCGGGTGCCAGCGTGTTGCTTACCCTTCATGCAGCTCTTTCCAAGTGTCCCACCCTAACCTTGTTCAATGGGATTGGGGCTTTGTTTCCATCATCTCCTTGGATCCCTGGGATTCCTTAGTGCCAGGGGCTGGAGCTGGAGGAGCTCCGAGCCCCATCCAGGCTGGGATCCCATGGACCAGCTCCCTATAACGGAGGAACAGAGGGGAGCACGTGCCTTAGGGCAGGGGGGGCCATGCAGCGGGTTTAAAGGGTGTTTTCTGCTCCGGTTCCAACAGGGCTTTTCTGGGGTCCGCCACCAGATCCCACAGGGAAAAGGGATCCCCCAGCCCACACCCTCCTTGTGTTCACTTGTGGCTTATGGTGGGGCTGTGTTGTATGGGGCTGGTTCCAGTGCCAGCAGTGGAGACACAGAGGGTGCTGGGGCATAAGGGAGGTTGTGTCCATCCATCCATCATCCATCCATCCATCATCCATCCATCCATCATCCATCCATCATCCATCCATCATCATCCATCATCCATCCATCCATCCATCATCCCTCCATCCATCCATCCATCATCCATCCATCCATCCATCATCCATCCATCATCCATCCATCCATCCATCATCCATCCATCCCTCCATCCATCCATCCATCCATCCATCATCCATCATCCATCCATCATCCATCCATCATCCATCCATCATCCATCCATCCCTCCATCCATCCATCATCCCTCCATCCATCCCTAGCAGAGACCCAAGAGCCAGAGCATCTCATTGGATCCAATGGGAAGCCTTGGGGATGCTGCACTGGTCCCAGCCTCTCTGGGCTCCTGCCCCACGTTAACCATCACCCTTCCTCTCGCAGTGACCCCTATGTGAAGCTCTCCCTGTACGTAGCAGATGAGAACAGGGAGCTGGCTCTGGTGCAGACTAAAACCATCAAGAAGGTAGGTGCAGAGCTCCCTTCCTTGGGCAGCAGGAGGGGGAAAGAGCATCCCATAGCCTGACACCGCGCTCCAAAGGGGATTTACCTCCCTCTGCCTCATCCTAATGCACACAGAAGGCAGAAGGAGCTGCACTTTCCCCTTTCCCATCACTAGCAGGGCTCTCTGCTGCCCATCCCTATGGAGTGCTGCCTTGCAGCCACCAGGCCTGAGATCCACTCAAAAGCATCACCCTGGGTACCAGGAGTCCCTTGTGGCCCCATCGGGATGCTCCAGCACCCCAAAGCCAACGTGAGCCCTCAGCTGGGCCACAGGGTCATGGAAGCAGTGGCCATGGACCCAAAGGTCGGGTTTAAACTGGGCCACGTTTGCAGGGCCCCATTTCACACCTGGGCTCCCTGCAGGTTGCAGTGGGGCCGCAGGGTTGGGAAGGAAGAGGGGAGCTCCTTTCCCTTCCTTTCCTTCTGTTTCCTGGTGCATTTACCCTGTAAATACATGCCCTGGGGCTTCACATGGCCCTTGGGGACACAAGGTGCCCATGTTTGCTTCGTGTCCCTTCCCAGGGATGTGCCTTTTACTCACAGAACCCTACTGATGCTGAGCAGCTATTCCGGGCTCTGCTGACTCAGGTCCCCTCCTACAGTTGCCTTATACTCAGTGGGGTTTCTCCCTAGCTCCATGGCAATCCCCCCTTCGTTCCCCATGTCACCCTCTCCCTATGGAGCAGACACACAGCACCCTAACCCTAACCCTAACCCCCTCTCCCTATGGAGCAGACCCACAGCATCAAACCCTGTTGCTCTCTCTTTGCAGACGCTGAACCCAAAGTGGAATGAGGAGTTTTACTTCCGAGTGAGTTCCTTTTCCCTTGAGCATCCCAATCCCTCCTCCTCTCACCTTAAAGGTGCTCGTGGAGGTGCCCCTGCTCTGCTCTGCCTGTCGGGAAGGCCAGAGCAGCAGCAGGTTAAGGGGAACTGGGGGGTAACCCATGTGCCCCATGTACCCTGGGCCATGTGTGTTTAGCAGAGCACGTTCGCAGGGCCTTGCCAAGGTTAATAATCCATGGAATGAGCATGGCAGGGATGAACAGAACCCAAATGGAGATGGGAAAAGCTGTTCCTCTTGGCCTTTTCCTTGCTTAAAATGGGCCTTGCTTCAAGTGGAACCCCATTGGAGCATGGTGACCCCGTTTCTGTGTCCCGCAGGTGAACCCCACCAACCATCGGCTCCTGTTCGAGGTGTTTGATGAGAACAGGCTGGTGAGTGCTTGGGTCTGGTGGGAGCAGCGCATCCAGAGGGGGATCTGGGGCTGTGGGGTGGGGAAGCGCAGCTGGGAGCAGGTTTGGGGCCTGGCAGCCAGGAGCCACCATGAACCCAGCGGGGCTGAGGGCAGAGCTCACTGTGTTCCCAGCCCGTCCTTCACTTAGGAGGCAGCTCCCCCATCCCCTCGGTGTGTCCTGCGCCAGGCTCATCCCTCTTTGGGGCTGTGCCCTCAGCTCTGTGCCGTGCCCATTGGGGCTGCTTTGAGCCTGGAGCCCCATTGGATGCTGGAGGATCGCTTCCTGCTCGTGCTGTGGTACCCATGGGCTGAGCATCCCTGGCAGCGGGTACAAGCCCCATGGCTGCTCCCTGCAGAACCCAGGGAACCGAGGCACTGGCATCCTTTGCCATCCGTGTGCGTGCTCCAACAGGGAATACCTGATGCTGGGGGCTGTGTCCTTGGGTTTGTGTGGGAAATGAGGAGCCTCTGCAGGGGAACCCCCCAATGGAACCCAAGGGCTTTGAGGAGCAGCAGCAGTGGGGGGGGTTGGGTTTCTGCTTCCCTGATGGGAAAGCAGCAGCTGGGAAGGGGCCGGGCTCATCCCGCTTGGAATGCCACTGGAGCAATGGCGCTGGGATGGAAGCAGCATGGGATGGATGGGGCTGATGGATGGGGTCAGTACCAGGGGTCCCATCAATGCTGAAAGCATCAATGGTGTGAGGATGCAGCGTGATGCTCCAAGCACGGATGCAGGAAGCAGCATTCCCAAGCATCACATTCCCAACACAGGGCAGCAGCTCCTTGTGCTGCAGCCCCAAAGGGGCCAGGCTGCAGTGGTACCCATGCATCCAGCTGGAAGGGAGCCCCTCCAACCCCATCCCACCCACAGGAGGGGAGCCTTGGGATGAGGGTGCCGTTCCCAGCAGCAGGAAAAGCTGGAATACCCCAATTCCCAGCCTGCTTTCTGCACAGTGGACACTGGGGGTTGCTGCACTCCATAGGGCAAGGATGGAAGCTGCCAGCCAAGCATCCAGCACTGCAGGAGTAGGATGCAGCACTGGGAATGGGGTGCCCTGAGGACCCCATCTGTGGCAGCTCACTGGTGCTTAGGGGTAGGCAGGTGGAGGTGGCTGGGATGCTGGGGGTGTAACAGGCCCTGGAGGCAGCATTCCTGCATCCCTCTGGTGCTCCATGGGGATCCAGTGGCTGCGCTTCCTGCTCCTTGTATGGGATGAAGCCGGGGTTTGGCATCGGGCTCCATGGGCTGTGCTCCCCTGGCGTGGGGCTGGAGCATCAGTGGGCCCTGCTGTCTCACAGCTCTCTCTGCCTCCCTTCACAGACCAGGGACGACTTCCTGGGCCAGGTGGATGTGCCCCTCAGTCACCTCCCGGTAAGAGCCCCCTTCCGCTCCTCTTCCATCCCTTTTCCCATAGGGAATCCAGGTCTGTGTTCCCAAAGCATCCCGAACACCATGGGTGGGGACTGGGAGAGGTGGGGTTCCATTAGCAGGGGGATGTAAGGGGGGGGGGGTGTGTGGATGTCTCCTCTCGTTGCTTACGGGGTGAAGCTTGTCCTAAGCTCCAGTTTCCCAGGCAGCTGGGATTGGGCCCAGGCTTCACCCCGGAAGCACAGCCTGGACCCATTGGGATGGGGTTCATTGGCACTGGTGCAGCTCTGCCCCTTGTAACGCTGCTGTTTGCCCATCTCCATCAGTGCCACCCTATCTATAGTGGGGTCATTCCTTGGGTGTCTCCATCCTTTAATGCCCCCTTCTGTCTGCTTCCAGACCGAAGACCCCACCATGGAGCGGCCATACACCTTCAAGGACTTCCTATTGAGGCCCAGGAGGTGAGCAGAGGGGGGGCTCTGGGTGCTAAACCCCGTCCCCCTTGAGGCTTGCTGGTCCTTGAGCCCTGTCCCCTTGCCCCATAGCCACAAGTCCCGTGTAAGGGGCTTCCTGAGGCTGAAGATGGCTTACATACCCAAGAGCGGTGGCCAGGAGGATGAGAGCAGCGACCCAAGGGATGACCCCGAGGTAAGGCCCATAGCAAAGGAGCCTGCCCTGTCCCATGGGGGGGCTTTGCACTGAACCCCTCTCCCTCTCCCCAGCACGGCTGGGATGTGCTGGACCCCAGTGACTCGGCCTCCCAGCACCAGGAGGAGCTGCCCCCTCCATCACTGCCCCCGGGCTGGGAGGAGAAGGTGGACAACCTGGGCAGGACGTACTACGTGAACCACAACAACAGGAGCACCCAGTGGCATCGCCCCAGCTTGATGTGAGTGGGGGCAACCTGCACTGGGGTGGCCTGGAGCCCTTTGGAAGGGGCTTGGAGCAGCCTGTCCTAGTGGGAGGTGGTTCTAGTTGGAAGCAGATGCCCCTAAGGCCCCTTCCAGGCCCGATTCCCTGATTCCCCTCACTGAGGTTGGGGAGCAGCACAGGTTGCACCTTCATTGTGTCCTTTTCGTGCCTCCATGGTCCCCGTGCAGTGACGTGGGCTCGGAGTCCGACAACAACATGAGGCAGATCAACCAGGAGGCCGCCCACCGGCGCTTCCGCTCCCGCAGGCACATCAGTGAGGACCTGGAACCGGAGCCCATGGAGAGCAGCGACGTTCCAGAGGTAGGGAATGGGACTGGGGCTCCGGGCTGCCCTATCCCTTGTTGTCATAGGGGTGGATGGGGAGCTGCAGAGGAGTCACCTGCAGTGGGGTGCTTGGGAGCTGTTGGGGTTACCCCAGCGGGAAGGGAGCTCTGCTTGCCTGCAGTGTCCCCATTGTTCTCTGTGTGTGTCCCCTAGGGCAATGGCAGAGGGGAAGGAGCAGCTTGGGGTCGTGCTGAGCCCTAACAGGGTTTCCTCTCTCTTGGTAGCCCTGGGAGCCCATCTCGGAGGAGGCAGGCGCGAGCGGAGAGGCCCTGAGCCTGGCGTTGCCACCTCCTCCTGCATCTCCAGTGGGGCGGCCTGGGCCTCAGGAGCTCTCGGAGGAGCTGAGCCGGAGACTGCAGGTCACCCCCGAGGCCAATGGGGAGCAGCTCAGCTCATGGAGCGTGCGTGACGTCCCTTTGCACCCTCTCCTATGGGCTGCCCTTAGGGGGAGCACAGAGAGCACGGGGTGGGAATTCCTGCAGCACGCACCATAGGGGTCAATGTGTTCTGGGGGGGGTTTAACCTCAGACCCTGCCATAGAGCGTGATAGAGAGAGTAACAGGCCCAGGGAGATGTGCTGCTGCCCTTCTCCATGTCACACCTCCCCATCCCTGGCACACGCCTGCATGGCAGCATGTCCCTAGAGCAGGGTCTGCACTCCTCATATGCAAGAGGAGCAAGGGATTAGAGTGGGAAGCAGCATCCCCGTTGGAAGGGGCAGCATCCCAAAGGCCTGGGAGGTCAGCTCCAAGGGACAGCATCCCAAAGGCCTTTTCTCTATCAGAGGTGCCCTGTTTGCCATTACAGCACTGTAGCACTCCAACCTCCATGGCACTGTAGCATCCCGTTGTCTTCACTTAATCCTGCCCTTTCCTCTTCATCCCACACCTTCATTCCCTGCTTTCCCACTACAGAGTGCCTGGAGCAGGTTGGGACCTGGGTACCACAGAGGAGTGCAGGATGTGTAGCCCAGCCCCAGTGCGTTTCCCTGTTAGCCTGAAGCGCCCCAGGAGGGGATGCTGAGCGTTCCTTGCTGCACAAGGGCCAAAGCTGAAGAGCCTGCAGCATCCACAGGAGTTTGAAGGGGGTCGGATGGAATCAGGGAGTGAACCCCATGGTTTAAGGCACTTTAACTGAATCCATCTCTCCCTTGCAGCAGAGGGATCCTGGGGCCAGACTGAGGTCCTGCAGCGTCACGGATGCAGTGGCTGAGCAGTCCCAGCTCTCCCTGGTAAAGCAAAGCCGGCTCCTGCCTTCCTTCCTGCCTTCCCTAGGGCTGAGGAACCCCTGCTGCTCAACAGCCCCTTGCCCTAGCCCAGGTCTAGGGGTGCAGGCTGGATCTATAGGCTCTTCCTAAGGAAAGACCCCCTCTCCCATCATAACCATGCCCATCCTTGGTGTCAGTGGCAGAGGGTTCCGCATGTTCTGGCCTCCAAGCCAGTACAGGCTGGTTCCAGCAAGAGCCTGAGTCCCACTCTGGGGGCTCCGTACACTCGGTGCCTCTGGGATATTCCTTACCTGGGAAGGCTTTCACCTCCTCAGCACTCCCTCATGAGCAGAATGGACCATTTTGGGGCAGAACACCACCATTTTGGGGCAGAACATGCACATTTTGAGTGTTTTGGGGGGGGAATCGTGTTCCAGCACACACCTCAGCGTGGTCCCAAACCAGAAGGGGACTCAGAGCATCCTCCTTTCCACAAGGTTCCATGTGTAATGTCCCAGAGGCACATGGGGGACGTGGGGGCAGCACCCCATGGAGACCTCCAGGCTGCCACCCCTAGGAGGCCCCGTTAGCTGTCCCAAGGTACCAACGCACCCCCGTTGCTCCCCCAGCCCTCCGTGGCCTACATCCACACCACCCCAGGCCTGCCGTCGGGCTGGGAGGAGCGCAAGGATGCCAAGGGCAGGACCTACTACGTGAACCACAACAACCGCACCACCACCTGGACACGGCCCATCATGCAGGTACGGGGGGGTACCCTGTGCTCCCAGTGCTCCCAGTGCTCCCAGTGCCCTCACCCCGGGTTTGCCCCCGTTGCAGCTGGCAGAGGATGGGATGGGGGGCTCAGGAGCCAACAGCAGCAACCACCTCAGTGAGCCCCAGATCCGGCGGCCCCGCAGCCTCAGCTCGCCCACTGTGACCCTCTCTGCACCCCTGGAGGTGAGGACCCCCCAGCCCTAGGAGCATCACCTCTGTCTGGGCCCGTCCTTCATTGTCCGTGCTATGGAGGGGCCGTGGGATGGGGCGGGGGAACATGGGGGGGTGTTGTGCGTGGGAACCCCTGTTTTATCCATGGGGTTCCCTGTCCTGGGAGCGCTGCTTCCATCCAAAGGGGGTTTGGAGCAATGGGTTGGGTTGAGTCCTGAGTACCTGGGTGCTCACACTGAAGGGGGGCTCTGTTGGGGAGCTCCCCACGGCAGTGGGAGCCCCTCAGTTGTGGCCTCAGGCCCGTATGGGATGCACTGGGGCCGCCGTGACCCCGTCTTTCCCCCGGCCAGGGCCTGAAGGAGTCCCCAGTGCGCAGAGCAGTGAAGGACACCCTCTCCAACCCCCAGTCCCCACAGCCCTCCCCTTACAACTCCCCAAAGCCCCAGCACAAAGCGGCCCAGAGCTTCCTCCCTCCCGGCTGGGAGATGCGCATCGCTCCCAATGGGCGCCCCTTCTTCATCGACCACAACACCAAGACCACCACCTGGGTAAGGGCTCCTCTGCACCCCCTCCAGTCCCCTCCCTCTCTCTATGGGGCTGGGGGGCTCTGAAGCTTGGTTCCGGATGGAGCAGCCCAGTTCCAGACTGGTGCTCATGGGGAGGGGGGTTTGATTGGGCTCCTCCTGTTCCACTCGCTCCAGCCTGGCCTTGAGCACTGCCGGGGATGGGGCATTGAACCCCACCACCCTAACCCCCATACACCATCTGTTGTCCATGCTCTGCTCCATTCCCCCCAAGGCTTCCCGATGGCCCCATGGGCCCTGTGGCCAGACCCAGCTGGGGCTCTTGGATTCACCCTCCCCTGTTTCTGTTCCAGGAGGACCCAAGGCTCAAGTTCCCGGTGCATTTGAGGTCCAAGACATCCCTGAACCCCAATGATTTGGGCCCTCTTCCTGTAAGTGCTGTTCTCTGGCCGTGCTCCCCATCACCTCCAGTCCCACATTGCCTCACAACACCAAAGCACCCCAAAAGCTTTATGGTGGTGGCAGCATCAGGCTTGTCTCTGTGCTGGAAGAACCTCACCTTCCTGTGTGCTGTTGCTTCAGGACAAAGGCAATGGAATGGGGTGGGAATCCCCTCCAAAGCATCCCAGTCTCACCAGTGCACTGGGAGCACTGTAACGGGCCCCAGCTCCATTTAGGGGGAATGAATGGCTGTGGGTTCCTCACAACACATTGGAAGGGAATCATTCATTCCTCATCTGTATCTTATAGGGCTCTGAAGCCCATGGGTGGATGGAGAGCTCATTGAGTCTTCCTTAGTCCTATGGGAGATGGGGAAGGGATAAAAGGGAGGCATGGGGGAGTGGGAATGCTGCCCCACTGTGCTGGGTCACTTGCTGTATCCACATAGGATTCAGCAGCACCTCCAAGGCAGTGATGGAGAGCACTTGGCCCTCACTGCCTTGCAGCAGGCAGGGCCTACAACCCCTAAAGGGAGCTGTTCCCAGCCCTTACCAGTCCCTGCACTGGGGTGGCACCTCCCAGTGCGCTTGGGCTCCCCCCTTAGTGTGTCCCTATGGACGCTGCATGCAGCTGCAGCCCTGCTTCACTCCCTTCTCCCTTTGCCTTCCCCCCGTGCAGCCTGGCTGGGAGGAGCGCATCCACCTGGATGGGAGGACCTTCTACATAGACCACAGTAAGTGAGGCCCGGGGCCCTAGAGCACAGAGACCAAGGGGGCTCGGCAGCTTGACGTGAAAGCTCTCTGATTTTACTCTTCGTTTAGGAAGCCAGGTGTTGGTTTGTGGAGACATTGATCCCAGAGGCTTAGTGCCCTCGTACGGTACTGTATCCTACCTGGAAGCGTGCTTTTGATTGCCTCATCCAGCTTTGTCCCCTCTGACTTGTGAAGCATCAGCATCCCTTCTCTGTGGTCCCTTTGTTCTCGTTGGTATTTCGGGTTCGTTGTTGCTGTCGTCGATGCTCCCATGGCTTCTCTGCACTCAGTGAGGTGACCCTGGGCTCCCTCGGTGCACTGCAGTGTCAGTGCTGCCCCGTTGGGGCCCTGCTGGTGCAGCAGCCCACAGGGCCTGGGGCAGGATGCAGGAGGAGCCGGTAGCAAGAGGGCTCCGTTGGCCTCACCTTAGCCTGGAGAGGCTTTAACTGCACCCCCTGCTTGGTGCTCGGCCTGCAGGGAGCATCGCACCCCATCCCTCCCTGCAGGATGCTCATACCCCTGCACCCCCAGGGATCCCCTGTTCCCTGCAGGATGCTCATACCCCTGCACCCCAGAGCCTCCAGGGATCCCCTGTTCCCTGCAGGATGCTCATACCCCTGCACCCCAGAGCCCCCAGGGATCCCCTGTTCCCTGCAGGATGCTCATACCCCTGCATCCCAGAGCCCCCAGGGATCCCCTGTTCCCTGCAGGATGCTCATACCCCTGCATCCCAGAGCCCCCAGGGATCCCCTGTTCCCTGCAGGATGCTCATACCCCTGCATCCCAGAGCCCCCAGGGATCCCCTGTTCCCTGCAGGATGCTCATACCCCTGCACCCCAGGGATCCCCTGTTCCCTGCAGGATGCTCATACCCCTGCACCCCAGAGCCCCCAGGGATCCCCTGTTCCCTGCAGGATGCTCATACCCCTGCACCCCAGGGATCCCCTGTTCCCTGCAGGATGCTCATACCCCTGCATCCCAGAGCCTCCAGGGATCCCCTGTTCCCTGCAGGATGCTCATACCCCTGCATCCCCAGGGATCCCCTGTTCCCTGCAGGATGCTCATACCCCTGCACCCCAGGGATCCCCTGTTCCCTGCAGGATGCTCATACCCCTGCATCCCAGAGCCTCCAGGGATCCCCTGTTCCCTGCAGGATGCTCATACCCCTGCATCCCCAGGGATCCCCTGTTCCCTGCAGGATGCTCATACCCCTGCACCCCAGGGATCCCCTGTTCCCTGCAGGATGCTCATACCCCTGCATCCCAGAGCCTCCAGGGATCCCCTGTTCCCTGCAGGATGCTCATACCCCTGCATCCCCAGGGATCCCCTGTTCCCTGCAGGATGCTCATACCCCTGCACCCCAGGGATCCCCTGTTCCCTGCAGGATGCTCATACCCCTGCATCCCAGAGCCTCCAGGGATCCCCTGTTCCCTGCAGGATGCTCATACCCCTGCATCCCCAGGGATCCCCTGTTCCCTGCAGGATGCTCATACCCCTGCACCCCAGGGATCCCCTGTTCCCTGCAGGATGCTCATACCCCTGCATCCCAGAGCCTCCAGGGATCCCCTGTTCCCTGCAGGATGCTCATACCCCTGCACCCCAGGGATCCCCTGTTCCCTGCAGGATGCTCATACCCCTGCATCCCCAGGGATCCCCTGTTCCCTGCAGGATGCTCATACCCCTGCACCCCAGGGATCCCCTGTTCCCTGCAGGATGCTCATACCCCTGCATCCCAGAGCCTCCAGGGATCCCCTGTTCCCTGCAGGATGCTCATACCCCTGCATCCCCAGGGATCCCCTGTTCCCTGCAGGATGCTCATACCCCTGCACCCCAGGGATCCCCTGTTCCCTGCAGGATGCTCATACCCCTGCATCCCAGAGCCTCCAGGGATCCCCTGTTCCCTGCAGGATGCTCATACCCCTGCATCCCCAGGGATCCCCTGTTCCCTGCAGGATGCTCATACCCCTGCACCCCAGGGATCCCCTGTTCCCTGCAGGATGCTCATACCCCTGCATCCCAGAGCCTCCAGGGATCCCCTGTTCCCTGCAGGATGCTCATACCCCTGCATCCCCAGGGATCCCCTGTTCCCTGCAGGATGCTCATACCCCTGCACCCCAGGGATCCCCTGTTCCCTGCAGGATGCTCATACCCCTGCATCCCAGAGCCTCCAGGGATCCCCTGTTCCCTGCAGGATGCTCATACCCCTGCATCCCCAGGGGCCTCCAGGGAACCCTGTTGGGACTAAACCAGGTTTTCCAAGCCCATCCAGAGCAGTTCCCAGGCACTGACAGGGGGATGGACGTGGTCCATGGGCTCCATCAGCGCCCATCTTGGCTCCACCAGTGCAGCCAGCAGTGGTTTAAGGGGCAGGAGGGGTGAGGATGCAGCAGGAGGTGGTGCAGAGGGGAAGCAGCAGCAGGCTGCTGGTTGGAAAGGGCATGGAGAGCATGGATCCGAGTGCACCCAGCCTGTGCTGTGTGTAGGAGCGAGTGCTGAGCCCTGGTCCCACTCTGCAGGCACGGGTGGGAAGGGACCAGAGCAGAAGGGAGCTGGGCAAGGATGTGCCCATGGCATTGTGCACACTGAGGGCTGCTGATCCTCATGGATCCCTTCAGTTAACAGTGGGGAATGGGGAGCTGAAGCAGAGCAGATGGGGGAGCCCATCTTTGCCCTTTGGTCCCTTGGAGCTTTGTCTTCTCGTTGCAACCCCATCGTGTCGTTGTGGTTCTGTGCTGTACCAGGACGTGGGCAGGAGCACACATCCCACATCCCATAGGGTCTGGAGCAGGCCCTGGGGCTCCCCATGGCCACAGAGCTGCTCTCCCCTCCAAACCAGAGCACGTTGCCTCCTCCAAGCATGGCCTTTGGCCCTGCTTCCTCTCCAGGTGCTGAGCTGGAAACCAGTGGCTCCAGTTGGGGCTGGGCCTTTGGAGGGGGTGAATGCCCCTTGTGCAGCCCCGGAGGTGCGGGCTGAGGGGTGGCAATGGCAGGGAACCAGGCTGTAGGGGAAGGAGCAGCACCCGTGCACAGTGGGGCCCCAGAGCAGTAATGGTGCTCCTGCTTCTCTCACTACAGACAATAAGATCACCCAGTGGGAAGACCCCAGGCTGCAGAACCCAGCCATTACTGGTCCAGTAAGTACTGGGGATGGGGGGGGGGGGGAAGCAGGGGTTTGGGATGGATACAGGAGCAAGGCTCCCATTTACCCATCCCCTTGGTGGTGACTGAGAGCAGAGCTGAGACACGGGGCTCCCCTTTGGGTGCCCTCAGCATCAGGAGCTCTGTCCACTATGGGGGAGTTGGGAGTGTGGGTCCAGAGTGGAACAGAGACAGAATTCCTCCTGGGAATGGGAGCATCCCTGTATCCATAGATGGGAGCATCCCTGTATCCATAGATGGGAGCATCCCTGTATCCATAGCCCCATAGATGGGAGCATCCCTGTATCCATAGATGGGAGCATCCCTGTATCCATGCAATGGGAGCATCCCTGTATCCATATGGGAGCATCCCTGTATCCATCAATGGGAGCATCCCTGTATCCATCAATGGGAGCATCCCTGTATCCATCAATGGGAGCATCCCTGTATCCATCAATGGGAGCATCCCTGTATCCATAGATGGGAGCATCCCTGTATCCATCAATGGGAGCATCCCTGTATCCATCAATGGGAGCATCCCTGTATCCATCAATGGGAGCATCCCTGTATCCATCAATGGGAGCATCCCTGTATCCAGCAGCATCCCTGTTCATCAATGGGAGCATCCCTGTATCCATCAATGGGAGCATCCCTGTATCCCCATATGGGAGCATCCCTGTATCCATCAATGGGAGCATCCCTGTATCCATCAATGGGAGCATCCCTGTATCCCCATATGGGAGCATCCCTGTATCCATCAATGGGAGCATCCCTGTATCCCCACATAGGAGCATCCCTGTATCCATAGATGGGAGCATCCCTGTATCCATAGACCCATAGATGGGAGCATCCCTGTATCCATAGACCCATAGATGGGAGCATCCCTGTATCCATAGACCCATAGATGGGAGCATCCCTGTATCCATAGCCCCATAGATGGGAGCATCCCTGTATCCATAGATGGGAGCATCCCTGTATCCATAGATGGGAGCATCCCTGTATCCATAGCTCCTGAGGAATTGTAAGGGCAAGGGTGTAATTCCAGTTGTCTGGGATGAAAACCAGTGGATGCTGGAGCAGAGCTGCTTTGGAGTGGGGTGCCATGCACTTACTGCTTGAGGTGCTGCTGTACCCTGGGTACAGATCCCTCAGATTCCCATAAATGCGTAAGTCCAGCTGGGAGAGGAGAGCTGTCCCTCCTCTCTGTGTGCTTCAGGAGGGTTCCACAGCCAACACAGGACCCAAACCCCTCCTGCACCAGTTAAACATCCAGGACTCATCTTCTAATGCCTGTAATGGTGCTTCTGGTGCAGTGACAACACCTGCACCCAAACTGCAGCCGTGCTGCGAGGTGACCTGAGGGCTGTTGGGCAGCTGGGCTGTCACCAGGGGAGATGATGTGCAGTGAGTGTGTGTGTGCATGTGTGTATGTCAGTGCTGCTGGCACTGCATCCCAAAGCCCCTGTAGAGCCTGGGGGCAGGATGGAGCTGCTCTTTGTGACCCAAAATCGGTCTCATCCTCCCCAAAACCACGTTGAGTCCTGAGCCTGCTCCTCACCTTGCATAGGGAGGAAGGATGTGGTTGGCACTAGGGTCAGGGATGGGCAGTAAGGATGTGGTTGGCACTGGGATCAGGGACGGGCAGTAAGGATGTGGTTGGCACTAGGATCAGGGGTGGGCAGTAAGGATGTGGTTGGCACTGGTGGGGGGGTGGTGTGGTTGGTGGGTGGGTGGGGGGTGGTGTGGTTGGTGGGTGGGGGGGTGGGTGTGGTTGGCACTAGGATCAGGGACGGGCAGTGAGGATGTGGTTGGCACTAGGGTCAGGGACGGGCAGTAAGGATGTGGTTGGCACTAGGGTCAGGGACGGGCAGTGAGGATGTGGTTGGCACTGGGATCAGGGACGGGCAGTAAGGATGTGGTTGGCACTGGGATCAGGGATGGGCAGTAAGGATGTGGTTGGCACTAGGATCAGGGACGGGCAGTAAGGATGTGGTTGGCACTAGGATCAGGGACGGGCAGTGAGGATGTGGTTGGCACTAGGATCAGGGGTGGGCAGTGAGGATGTGGTTGGCACTAGGATCAGGGGGCCTGAACAGGGGATGTCTGCCCATGGCCTGCGAGCCCAAATCGTGTTTGATGCTGCTGTGGCTTTACCAGAGCCTTGCAACTGGGAAGAGAAGGGCCTGGACCTCCTCCTCAGGCCCCTGTGGGTACGGACCTGCCTCCTGAGCTCGTCACTGGTTCTTAGGCCCTAATGCTGCGGACTTGGGGTCTGTGGGGTAGCACCCACCCTAGCTCTGTGCTCCCTGCTGTGCGCATCCATAGCCCATGGATACTGTACTCACACCCCCTGTTCCTCCCCTAGTGAGGCACATGGAGGGCAGCAGTACCCCCAGTACTGCCTGTGTTAGGGTCGGGTCTGCTCCCCCCTGCTCCTAAAGGAGAGGGATGGCTGCGGGTACCTGTGAGCAGTGGGGTTTGGATGAACCCCCATGTAGGCAGCCCCTCTGTGTGTGGGGGGGTTTATATGAACCCCCATGTAGGCAACCCCTGTGTGATGCTGAGGTGTGGCTGTATCTGCATCCATACCCATACCCACGGGTGCTGGAGCCCCGAGTGATGGGCGCTGCGCTTCTCTCCACCAGGCAGTTCCCTATTCCAGGGAGTTCAAGCAGAAGTATGACTACTTCCGGAAGAAGTTGAAGAAACCAGTGAGTAAACTGGGTTTGTGCTGGGATGGGGGCACCGAGGGTGGGGGAACCCAGGGCAGGAACGCACTGGAACACACTGGGGCACACTGGAGCACACTGCTCCGTAAGGGGTTGTCTGTGCAGCAGGCCCGAGGCAGCGGTGATGGACACGGCACCAGTGGCTGTGTTCCTCAAGGAGGGTCGCCTAGGTTTACCCAAGGCTGAGTGTTGAGGGGTCCCCCCTGAGCAGAGCCCACAGGGATGGGGTCACCCCCCTTGGTGGTGCCTCACGGACCCCCCGCTCCGCCCCCAGGCCGATATCCCGAACCGCTTTGAGATGAAGCTGCACCGGAACAACATCCTGGAGGAGTCGTACCGCCGCATCATGTCCGTCAAGAGGCCCGACGTGCTCAAGGCCAGGCTCTGGATCGAGTTCGAGGCCGAGAAGGGGCTGGACTACGGCGGCGTGGCCAGGGAGTGGTTCTTCCTCTTGTCCAAGGAGATGTTCAACCCCTACTACGGGCTCTTCGAGTACTCAGCTACGTAAGCGGCCCCGCGAGCCCCCCGTGCCCAGGGGCTGTGCTGCAGGGCCGCGCTTGCTGAGCTCTCTCTTTTCTCTCCCCACCCAAGGGACAACTACACCCTTCAGATTAATCCTAATTCAGGTCTCTGTAACGAAGACCACCTGTCCTACTTCACCTTCATCGGCCGCGTGGCCGGGCTGGCCGTGTACCACGGCAAGCTGCTGGATGGTGAGTGAGGGGCTGCCCTTGGCTTCAGGGGGGCTCCCCCAGGGCACAGGGAGCTCAGCTGCACCCCTCTCCTGCAGGCTTCTTCATCCGCCCTTTCTACAAGATGATGCTGGGGAAGCCCATAACGCTGAAGGACATGGAGTCAGTGGTGAGCCATCCCCGTGAGCCCCTCCTGCTGCCAGGGCAAGGGCTCCATGGACTGGGCTCATCACATGGGTCCTGATGCAAGGGGTCCCATGGAGTGAGGAGGCTTCTCTTTTGGGGTCCACGACCACGAGGACACTTAGAGGGGGGTCAGGGTTTTCCTACAAGGAAACCTCTTCCCCTGAGCTGTCCCATAGCTGCCTTTGGTCCTATTAAAAGACTCTAAGCCCCTCCTCATAGTGTGTGTGGAGGCAGGAGTCCTCCTCCTCCTCCTCCTCCCAGCCCCATTACAGGCCCCATACGGTTCCCTGTGCCCTGACTGCTGCTGTTTAACCCCTAGGACAGTGAATACTACAACTCCCTGAAGTGGATCCTGGAGAACGACCCCACGGAGCTGGATCTCATGTTCTGCATCGACGAGGAGAACTTTGGCCAGGTACGGGAAGGCCGTCCCATGGCTGCCGATGGCCTGATGCCATCCCTGCCTGTGGAGCAAGGGGGATGGCTCCATGGCCGTGAGGGTGCAGCAGCTCCTGCAGGGGGTGGGAGCATTCCGGGCTGTGCTTGACCCCTCTCCCATGGCAATTCCAGACCTACCAGGTGGACCTGAAGCCCAACGGCTCCGAGATCATGGTGACGAACGAGAACAAGCGGGAGTACATCGAGTACGTACGGGCGGGGGGGGTGGCACTCGGTGTAAGGAGGGGGGGGTGAAGCATCGAGGGACGAGCTGGAGCCCTGAGGATGGGTAAGACTCACACTAATGAGGATCTCTGGCCCTTGTCCATGTGTCTGTCCCTTTGCCCATATCTCTGTCCCTTGTCTGTCTGTCTGTCCCTTTGCCCATATCTCTGTCCCTTGTCTGTCTGTCTGTCCCTTTGCCCATATCTCTGTCCCATTGTCCATGTGTCTGTCCCTTTGCCCATATCTCTGTCCCTTGTCTGTCTGTCCCTTTGCCCATATCTCTGTCCCTTGTCTGTCTGTCTGTCCCTTTGCCCATATCTCTGTCCCTTGTCTGTCTGTCTGTCCCTTTGCCCATATCTCTGTCCCTTGTCTGTCTGTCTGTCCCTTTGCCCATATCTCTGTCCCTTGTCTGTCTGTCTGTCCCTTTGCCCATATCTCTGTCCCTTGTCTGTCTGTCCCTTTGCCCATATCTCTGTCCCTTGTCTGTCTGTCTGTCCCTTTGCCCATATCTCTGTCCCTTGTCTGTCTGTCCCTTTGCCCATATCTCTGTCCCTTGTCTGTCTGTCTGTCCCTTTGCCCATATCTCTGTCCCTTGTCTGTCTGTCCCTTTGCCCATATCTCTGTCCCTTGTCTGTCTGTCCCTTTGCCCATTTTGCCCATATCTCTGTCCCTTGTCTGTCTGTCCCTTTGCCCATATCTCTGTCCCTTGTCTGTCTGTCTGTCCCTTTGCCCATATCTCTGTCCCTTGTCTGTCTGTCCCTTTGCCCATATCTTGTCCCTTGTCGCATATCTCTGCCCTTGTCTGTCTGTCCCTTTGTTTTGTTTGTTTGTTGTCCTTTGCCCATATCTCTGTCCCTTGTCTGTCTGTCTGTCCCTTTGCCCATATCTCTGTCCTTGTTGTTGTTGTTTTGTTTTGTTTGTTGTCCCTTTGCCCATATCTCTGTCCCTTGTCTGTCTGTCCCTTTGCCCATATCTTTGTCCCTTGTCTGTCTGTCCCTTTGCCCATATCTCTGTCCCTTGTCTGTCTGTCTGTCCCTTTGCCCATATCTCTGTCCCTTGTCTGTCTGTCTGTCCCTTTGCCCATATCTCTGTCTCTGTGTTTCTCTTATCTGTGTGTCTGTCCATATGTGTCTGTCTGTCTATCCCTTTGTCCCTGTGTCCACCTGTCCCTCCATGTGTCCGCATGTCCCTGTGTCCACCTGTCTGTCCCTGTGTCCGTCTTGCCGTGTTTCTGCCTGTCTGTCCCTGTGCCTGTCCATGTGTCTGCCTGTCTCACCATGTGTCCGTCTGTTCCTATGTCCGCCTGTTTGTCCATGTGTCTGTCTGTCTGTCCCTGTATCCACCTGTACCTCCGTATGTCCGCCTGTCTGTCCCTGTGTCTGTCTGTCCCTGTGTCCATCTGTTTATCCCTGTGTCCGCCTGTCTGTCCATGTGTCTGCTCCTCTGTCCCTGTGTCCGCCTATCTGTCCGTGTGTCTGTCTGTCCCTGTGTCCATCCCTGTGTCCACCTGTCTGTCCATGTGTCTGTCTGTCCCTGTGTCCGCCTATCTGTCCATGTGTCTGCCTGTCTCTCCGTGTGTCCATCTGTCAATGTGTCCACCTGTCTGTCCACCTCTCTGTCCATGTGTCTGCTTGTCTCTCCATGTGTCCGCCTGTCTGTCTCCGTGTCCATCTTTCCCTGTGTCCGCCTGTCCCTGTGTCCACCTGTCTGTCTCTGTGTCCGCTTGTCTATGTGTTCATCTGTTCCTGTGTCCGCCTGTCTGTGCCTGTCTTTCCCTATGTCTGCCTGTCTACCCCTGTGTCCACCTGTCCCTGTGTCCACCTGTCTGTGTGTCTGCCTGTTCCTATGTCTGCCTGTCTCCCTGTGTATCCGTGTGTCCCTGTGTCTGCCTGTGTCCGCCTGTCTCTTCGTGTTTCCGCCTGTGTCCTGCATCCACCTGTCTGTCCCTGTGTCCACCTGTCTGTCCATCTGTCTTTCCCTGTGCCCATCTGTCCCTGTGTCTGCCTGTCTGTCCCTCTGTCCGCTTGTCTGTCAATCTTTCCCTTTGTCCGCCTGTCCATGTGTCCTTCTGTCTCTCCGTGTCTTCGCCTGTCTGCCTGTCTTTCCCTGTGTCCGCCTGTCTGTCCCTGTGTCCGCCTGTCCCTATGTCCACCTGTCCTTGTGTCTGCTTGTCTATGTGTCCATCTGTTCCTATGTATACCTGTCTGTCCCTGTCTGCCTGTCTCTCCGTGTGTCCGCCTGTCTGTCCGCCTGTCTGTCCCTGTGTCTGCCTGTCCCTATGTCCACCTGTCTGTCCCTGTCTCCGCTTGTCTATGTGTCCATCTGTTCCTGTGTCCACCTGTCTGTCCCTGTGTCTTCCTGTCTCTCCGTGTGACCGCCTGTCTGTCCTCCTGTCTGTCCCTATGTCCACCTGTCTGTCCCTGTGTCCGCTTGCCTATGTGTCCATCTGTTCTTATGTCCACCTGTCTGTTCCTGTGTCTTCCTGTCTCTCCGTGTGTCTGCCTGTCCCTACGTCCGCCTGTCTGTCCCTGTGTCCGCCTGTCTGCCCATGTCTGTCTGTCCCTATATCTGCCTGTCCATGTGTTCTCCTGTCTCCATGTCTCCGCCTTTCTGTCCTGCATCCGCCTGTGTTTCCCTGTGTCTGCCTGTCTCTTTGTGGGTCTGCCTGTCTTTCCCTGTGTCCACCTCTCTGTCCCTGTGTCCGCCTGTCTGTCCCTGTGTCCGCTTGTCTCTGTGTGTCCGCCTGTCTGTCCCTGTGTCCGCCTGTCTGTCCCTGTGTCTTCCTGTCTCTCCGTGTGTCTGCCTGTCTGTCCCTGTGTCCGCCTGTCTGTCTGCCCCTGTGTCTGCTTGTCTATGTGTCCATCTGTTCCTGTGTCCACCTCTCTGTCCCTGTCTTCCTGTCTCTCCGTGTCCGCCTGTCTCTCCCTATGTCTGCCTGTCTGTTCCTGTGTCCACCTGTCTCTCCCTTTGTCCACCTGTCTGTCCCTGTGTCCGCTTGTCTCTCTGTGTCCGCCTGTCTGTTCCTGTCTGCCTGTCTGTCCCTGTGTCCGCCTGTCTGTCCCTCTGTCCACCTGTCCCTATGTCCACCTGTCTGTCCGTGTCCGCTTGTCTATGTGTCCATCTGTTCCTATGTCCACCTGTCTGTCCCTGTGTCTTCCTGTCTCTCCCTGTGTCTGCCTGTCTTTTCCTGTGTCCACCTGTCTGTCCCTGTGTCTGCCTGTCTGTCCGCCTCTCTGTCCCTGTGTCTGCTTGTCTCTGTGTCCATCTGTTCCTATGTCTACCTGTCTGTCCCTGTCTGCCTGTCTCTCCCTGTGTCTGCCTGTCTGTCCCTGTGTCTGTCCGCCTGTCTGTTCCTCTGTCCGCTTGTCTCTGTGTGTCCGCCTGTCTGCGTCCATCTGTTCCTATGTCCACCTGTCCCTGTCTGCCTGTCTCTCCCTGTGTCCGCCTGTCTGTCCCTGTCTGCGTGTCTCTCCCTGTGTCCACCTGTCTGTCCCTGTCTGCCTGTCTGTCCCTGTGTCCGCTTGTCTCTGTGTGTCCGCCTGTCTGTCCCTGTGTCCGCCTGTCTGTCCCTGTGTCCGCCTGTCTGTCTGTCCCTGTGTCTGTGGGTCTATGTGTCCATTTGTTCCTATGTCCACCTCTCTGTCCCTGTCTGCCTGTCTCTCCGTGTCCGCCTGTCTCTCCCTATGTCCGCCTGTCTGTCCCTGTGTCCGCCTGTCTGTCCATCTGTCCTGTGTCTGCTTGTCTGTGTCCATCTGTTCCTATGTCTACCTGTCTGTCCCTGTCTGCTTGTCTCTCCCTGTGTCCGCCTTTCTGTTCCTGTGTCCACCTGTCTTTCCCTTTGTCCACCTGTCTGTCCCTGTGTCCGCTTGTCTTTGTGTGTCCGCCTGTCTGTCTGCCTGTCTGTCCCTGTGTCTGCTTGTCTATGTGTCCATCTGTCCCTGTGTCTGCCTGTCTGTCCCTGTGTCTTCCTGTCTCTCCGTGTGTCTGCCTGTCTTTCCCTCTGTGCGCCTGTCTGTCCCTGTGTCCGCTTGTCTCTGTGTGTCCACCTGTCTGTCCTTGTGTCTGCCTGTCCCTATGTCCACCTGTCTGTCCTTGTGTCTGCTTGTCTGTGTCCATCTGTTCCTATGTCTGCCTGTCTCTCCCTGTGTCTGCCTGTCTGTCCCTGTCTCCGCTTGTCTATGTGTGTCTGCCTGTCTGTCCCTGTGTCCGCTTGTCTGTCCCTGTGTCCGCCTGTCTGTCCCTGTATCTGCTTGTCTATGTGTCCATTTGTTCCTATGTCCACCTCTCTGTCCCTGTCTGCCTGTCTCTGTGTCCGCCTGTCTCTCCCTATGTCTGCCTGTCTGTCCATCTGTCCTGTGTCTGCTTGTCTGTGTCCATCTGTTCCTATGTCTACCTGTCTGTCCCTCTCTGCTTGTCTCTCCCTGTGTCTGCCTGTCTGTTCCTGTGTCCACCTGTCTTTCCCTTTGTCCACCTGTCTGTCCCTGTGTCTGCTTGTCTGTGTGTCCGCCTGTCTGTCGTGTCCACCTGTCTGTCCTTGTGTCTGCCTGTCTGTCCATCTGTCCTGTGTCTGCTTGTCTGTGTCCATCTGTTCCTATGTCTCCTGTCTTCCCTGTCTGCTTGTCCTGTGTCCGCTTGTCTATGTGTCTATCTGTCCCTGTGTCCACCTGTCTGTCCCTGTGTCTGCCTGTCTGTCCCTGTGTCTTCCTGTCTCTCCGTGTGTCCGCCTGTCTGTCCCTGTGTCCGCTTGTCTCTGTGTGTCCGCCTGTCTGTCCCTGTGTCCGCTTGTCTATGTGTCTGTCTGTCCCTGTGTCTGCCTGTCTGTCCCTGTGTCTTCCTGTCTCTCCGTGTGTCCGCCTGTCTGTCCCTGTGTCCGCTTGTCTCTGTGTGTCCACCTGTCTGTCCCTGTGTCTGCCTGTCTGTCCGCCTCTCTGTCCCTGTGTCTGCTTGTCTATGTGTCCATATGTTCCTATGTCTACCTGTCTGTCCCTGTCTTCCTGTCTCTCCCTGTCTGTCCCTGTGTCTACTTGTCTGTGTCCATCTGTTCCTATGTCCACCTGTCTGTCCCTGTCTGCCTGTCTCTCCCTGTGTCCGCCTGTCTGTCCCTATGTCCACCTCTCTGTCCCTGCCTGCCTGTCTCTCCCTGTGTCCGCCTGTCCCTGTCTGCCTGTCTCTCCCTGTGTCCACCTGTCTGTCCCTGTCTGCCTGTCTCTCCCTATGTCCGCCTGTCTGTCCCTGTCTGCCTGTCCCTGTGTCCGCTTGTCTCTGTGTGTCCACCTGTCTGTCCCTGTGTCTGCCTGTCTGTCCACCTGTCTGTCCCTGTCTCCGCTTGTCTATGTGTCCATCTGTCCCTATGTCCACCTGCCTGTCCCTGTGTCTGTCTCTCCGTGTGTCCGCCTGTCTGTCCCTGTGTCCACCTGTCTGTCTGCCTGTCTGTCCCTGTGTCCGCTTGTCTCTGTGTGTCTGCCTGTCCCTTTGTCTGCCTGTCTGTCCCTGTGTCTGCTTTTCTATGTGTCTATCTGTTCCTATGTCTACCTGTCTGTCCCTGTCTCTCCGTGTGTCCGCCTGTCTGTCCCTGTGTCTGCCTGTCCCTATGTCCACCTGTCTGTCCCTGTGTCCGCTTGTCTGTGTCTTTCTGGTGTCCGCCTGTCGGTCCCTGTGTCTGTGTCTGCCATTCCCTGTGTCCATCTGTCTTTCCCTGTGTCCTCCTGTCTGTTCCTGTGTCTGTCTGTCCCTGTGCCCTCCTGTCTGTCCCTGTGTCTGTCCCCGTCTGTGTGTCCATCGGTCTGTCTGTCTGTCCCTGTGTCCGTGTGTCCATGTGACTGCTTGTCTGTCCCTGTGCCTGTCTGTTCATGTGTCTGCCTGTCTGTCCCTGTCTGTCTGTCCATGTGTCCATCTGTATGTCCCTCTGTGTGTGTGTGTCTGCCTGCCTTTCCCTGTGTCCGTCTGTCTGTCCCTGTGTCCCTGTGTTTGTCTGTGTCTTTACCTGTCTCCTGCAGCCTGGTGATCCAGTGGAGGTTTGTGAACAGGGTTCAGAAGCAGATGAACGCTTTCCTGGAGGTAAGGGCATTCACACCCCTGCTGTGTCCCCTCTCCACCCCTGAAGCCAAGGATCCTGTTAGCTACAACCGGGATCTGCCCTGGAATTACACGGGATTTGACCTGGCTTTTGCTTGTTCCCAGGGATTCACAGAGCTGCTGCCAATTGATCTGATTAAGATTTTTGATGAAAACGAGCTGGAGGTGAGTTCCAGGAACAGGGCAGGAACGCTCATCCCAAAGGGCTGGGTTGGATCCAGCGCCTCCTCCCTCCCTTCCTCTTTGTGAGGGAATTTGCACACAAGATCCTTTGCTTACAGAGGGGTTTGTCTCCCTGGTAATGTATTGACACATAAAAGCACAGCAATGTGTAATCAGTGAGGGTTGAATATGTGCATACAAGAGCCTGTGAGTATCTTGCAGCTTCCTGGGTTGATGCCACTATGCCCTTCCCTGTATGTTTTGAGCAGAACACTGGCCCACAGCACAGTGTCGCTCCAGGAGCCTGGAATTCTCCTCCAGACTCTCCTAAAGAAAAGCTCTCACTCCCCTTTGCATTTACATTTGTGCTGTTTGAAGACAGCAGAGGTTACACAGGTAACACCATAACCATGTACTTCCCTCCCTGTGTAGTTGCTGATGTGTGGCCTCGGTGACGTGGATGTCAACGACTGGAGACAACACACCATCTACAAGAACGGCTACTGCCCCAACCACCCCGTCATCCAGTGGTTCTGGAAGGTAAAGCTGGGAGGCCACGGCCCTGACTCCCCCCCCCCCAGCAAGGCTGAGGACCAGCAGGGTGTAGAGCTGTGCCTGTTGTGTGTTTCCAACAGGCTGTTCTGCTGATGGATGCTGAGAAACGGATCCGGCTGCTGCAGTTCGTCACGGGGACCTCACGTGTGCCTATGAATGGATTTGCTGAACTCTATGGTGAGTAGGGCTGTTAACCAGGGGGTTGCATGGTTAAAGGGCAGTATGCAGTTACTACTGCTGCATTACACATCCTCTACACAAAGGCAGATACTCTGCACAGGTTAACTGCGCTCTAGAAAGAACCAACCACACTCCTATTTGCTTTAATGGACTTGTAACTAAGAGTTCGGTACAACCGACGTAAAATACCTGGTACAATTCATAGCAATATAAACCTTCAGTGTTACAGACAGTGGGGAGGAGATCCCTGTGGTGTCCAACTACTCACACTCCATGCAATGTTTCATTTTCACCCAGGTTCAAATGGTCCTCAGCTGTTTACAATAGAGCAATGGGGAAGTCCTGATAAGCTGCCCAGAGCTCACACATGGTAAGTCATAAAACCAGAACATGAAATACCTTTGCTGTGCTGTTTTGCTGCCAGGAAAGGGGAGACATTTACCTCTGGATCATACAGCATTTAGCAAATGGGATACCCCAAAACCTACACACACGTGTGACCCTGTGTGTGTGTGTCCATGGCTGTATTTAAAAGGCAAAGACATGGACACATGAAAGGCCAAGTCAATAGAGTAAGTGTAGGTGTAGGCACTTCTGATAAGGACTTTTTACTGCTATTAAAAAGTCACAACTGGAAGTCCTCACACCTCAGGACTTCTGTGGGTTAAGATGGGTGTTAGCTAGAACAGGCTTTATTTTACCGCTATTGCGTGGTTCCTGGGATTGGCAAACCAGCAAAAGGAGCTGCAGTTTATGTTTTACTGAGTGTAATATGAATGTGAAAACATCAGCTCTGTTCTGGGCTTTGTAAGGAGGCTGTGCTAACATAAAGGCCCTAAAGCCTGGGACTGCTCACTCAAAATGAGAGGTTAGGAGCTGTCCTCATTTAATCCTAATGTAGAGAGTTTGTAAGGGGTTAAAGCATTCAATACCAGCCTTGTCTTACCTGAAATCCATGTTGTTGATGTGCAGCAGAATAACTTAACTAGTGCTGTGGAGGAAAACCAGCTTTCAGCACATGGTCCTGCCATGAGCATCATCAGGCCCCAGAGAATAACAAGTTTTATTTAAAAGCAAACACATCCCAAAGCCAGCTCGTCCATTCACTCCCCAGTTACCTGTTAGATCTTACAGGACCTTTGCAAGCCCTCCTTTTGGATGGTTCTTTTCCCCCGAGGTTAGAGAATGTGGCCTGTAAATTCAGAGCATCTTCCTGAGTGTTACCACCTTTTAGCAAAGGGGTAAGGTTTCCCATCAGGTGGTTCCTTTGCTCAGGAATTGCCATGTCCGGCTCTGGAAAGCAGCAGGCACGAGGCAGGTCCGGTCTCAGGGGTACCTGCAAGAACACAAGTGTTAGTGTGCGAAGGACACAGGGGAGATGGCACCATTAGGACAATGACATGTTCTCTGTGACCTCTCCTAGTTCTCTAACAGGATTTCTGAGTGCTTCTTGCCCTTCTCCCCCCAGCTTTAATCGCCTCGATTTACCTCTCTATGAATCCTTCGAAGACCTGCGGGAGAAGCTCCTGATGGCGGTGGAGAACGCGCAAGGCTTCGAAGGAGTGGATTAGCTGCCCCACCTCCCCCTGCACACACTCTGCTTGGCCCGAGGGCCCGTGGTGACTCTGGCACAGCCGTGCCCGGCGCTGCCCCACGGAGCAAACCCCACGGGGTCCCACTCCAGGAGTTGAACTGTGCCCTGGGGGTGCCAGCCCCGTGCCATGGACTGAGGCCGGTCCAGCAGGACTTGCTCTATTTATGTTGTGCCTCTGTAGGCAAAGCCCTTAATAAATATTTTACATAATTTCTAATGGCAATGAATGGGATTAATCCTTTTCCAGGTATAGTATTCCAGCTCCTGTTTACTTTTCCATTGATTTAGCCAGTTTCAGATTTTATTTCCTTACAATTAAATATCATCTACTTGGACAACTGAGCATTTTTCTTAATTTCGTACCAGACTGGAGGCCAGTGGCATTCTCTCACAGCACACTTTGAGCCTCGTGTTCCCCAACCATGAAGGAGGTAGGAAGAGGCTGGGAAGCTCCTCGACGTGGCTGCGTGGCGAGAGCAACTCCTCACTGGGCACAGCAGTGTTTTCCTGGCTCCAGAAGCACGGACTGGACGTTGCGTTGTGTATAAATACGGGGCTGGTTCCAGGCAGGGGAGCACCACACACCCCATAGCATGCCAAATCTCATGTCCAGTAACCAAACTGCTGCACCACTGCTAATACTTACATGGACTGTAACTACTATGTGGGCTAGGGTTGGCATCAAGCATTTCATGTGCTGAACCCTGGCCTTACCTTTGTACAGTGGTTTTGTATCTCCCTTCCCTCTTTGGCGGCATTGGATGGATCCTGGCACCGTGGGATTTGGCACTATGGAGAACCAGCCTGTTTGGCTCAGCTCTGTACGTGTTTGCTGCCAACAGCTAACCACCACCGGGGCTGGGTTTGTTTGGAACTGCACCGACTCTAAAGGCACTTTATGTAACCCATGGAAAGTCATATCTGGTTTTATCAGCACATTAATGTGATTCTGTTCTCACTGCACATGTCTCTCTGGTGCAATATCTATCACTTGTGAACTTGCTGCTGCTGTATAAAGGAAACCCCCAGCTGTAGAGCTGAGCCTGCAGACATGGTTCTGTGATTTCTTTTTTACTTAATCACAAAGATTTATTTCCTATACTCTGCTCTCTCTCCATTTTGTTACCTCTGCCATGTTGCATGCCTGAACGATACTGTCCGCGTTGCATCTCTTTTGTGACGGATTAAAAGTGACAATTCCTACTTGATGCGCTCCAGTTCAGTGGTTGCCGCGCTGCAAGGGCAAGGCCTGAGCTTTGCCCTCGCTTACCTGCATGCAGGGGTTTACCCCAGGAACCCATAACTGCCTATGAAGGACAACACATGCCAGACACCGTGTTACCTGGCTGAGAACAGGGAAGAAACCTTCATGCTGTGACAGTCGGCCCACACGTGTGTGCTCACATGTTCAAAGAGCTGATAGCTCATGTTTGAATGCAGGTTAACATTAATTCCCTAGGAAACATTTCCTGCCCTTCCTTTCTGACCTTTTACATGAAAAATGAGACTATCCAAATTTGTACATGGGATTTTGGGGTGGTTGGAGGCTCCCTTCCTGTCCAGTGCCATCAGTTGTAACCTTGTGAATTCTTGGTTGCGAGCTGAAATGTAATCTCATGTACAGCTCAAGGTTGTGACCCTTTATAAGGGGTTTACTGACACTTGCATACATCAGAGCCCTTCCAGCTGTCTGGAATTACACAGTGACATCAGACTGGAAGGGAAATGGTTACTGTTTGTACTTTAAAGAAAACAGAACATCTTTATGAGCCACTCCCCTCACAAACTGACACCCCAAAAGCATTTCCCAGGTACCAAAACACTGACACAAAGTCCACCCCATGAACCATAGAATAGTGTGCAGCTGGACTGCTGTGCTTTATTGGAGAGAAGGGGTTTAATTCTTAGGAAGCAGCTTGATAATAAGATACCAAGCTTAATATTAAAGTGAAGGAGTCCTTGACTTCTCAAGGTGTGCCACTAAAGCGGCAGCTTTGGGCTCACCTGTACAGATGTACTACAGCTCTTTTCTATGGTGTCCAGCAGGAAACTAGATGTGGCGGTCACAAGACCACTTGTGGGATAAGCTGAGGGGAACGGTTCATCCCAGCCCCATTCCTGTGGGTGTAAAGCTGGATTTGTGGCTATCAGAAAGCCAGCTGTCACTGTCCTTACAGGGACACAAGCCACTACTGCCACACAGTATATCTGCCAACTCGGATTTCATTCCTGGTGCCTGCATCAATGGCTAAACCCCTTTTCACCAGCCAGAGCTGGGGTCCTCTGTGCTGTGACACAGCCCAGCAAGTGCCCTTCAGTTTGCACTAAACCACATGAGACTACCCACAGGGCCTGGCTGTGCCAAGGGGCAGCTCAGAGGATCTTTGCTACTTATTTAACACATCTAACCTGAATTCCAGCCTTTCCACCTGAAAGCTGTGGTTGAAGGCATCTTTCTGGGAACAAAATGTCATTTACTTAAAACATGCAACCCACAAAGCAGCAAGCACTCCGGTGGGATTCATAGCTCGGCCCTGTGCCTGTGTTAACATAACAGTCCTACAAGTGCCCATACCCATATGGTTCCCAGTATGTGTAGCAGACTACAGGTACAATACCAGATTGGACTTCCTAAGGTGCACATTCATTTCCTCACCTTCCCAATGAAAGCTTTCCCTTTTCTACGTAGCATTACAACAACAAGAAACCCACCAACCTCCAGCCATCTGCTGTGATGTCACACTAGGAATAACGTGAAACACATGGGAAGCTTCCAGACCTGGAATCCAAGCATGTGACTGTCCCATACCTGTCACTATCACAGCGCACCTCACGCCCACCAGGGACCATCAGTGCAAAGCACACTTGGGCACATGTCCATCAGCACTCACTGCTAACACCTTGCCTGCCCACACTGCTCCACACTTCCATGTGTGGAGGCTCTTGGCCTTTCCTGGCCCATTTCCACAGGGATTCTGCTGGTTTCCTCCATGTTGTTAATGTGTGGCTGTAACCCCAGCCTGCACGCACACACAACAGCATCCCTGCTGCAGTTTCAGGCTTCAGCCCACTGCTCAGGCTTGATACACTCTGGGGAATGGACTTACGGACAAAAGCCTCCTTTTTTTTTTTCTGAGGAGCAATGAAAGAAGCTGCAGTTTGGGTTCCTGACAGCAAAAACTCAGTGTAATAAAGCCAACTTGCAATGAAATGATGCAACTTCATCAAATACTTCATAAAGAACTATGGAAGGCACAGCATTTTATACTTACACTCTATTTCTTTGGCTTTGTTAAAACAGCAAGTGCCTGAAGGTCGCAGCTGGATGTGGCTGGGGAGCCCCTGCTCTATCACACATGCACCAGATTCATTGTTATGCAATTAAACACACCCTCCATATGCTCAGCTTCCGGCAAGTGGTCCCCAAATTCTTCCCCATGATCTGCATGGCACAATAACACCTATGGCCTTTCCAGCTAGGTAAGAACTTGAAGTTCACAAGGGTCATATTCAAGGAGGCTCTTTTCCAGCAGAAATGGCACAACTGAAGTGAGGTTAGTGGCTATGCAGTGTACTCCAAAGATCTATGAGCAGGTAGAACACAAGCTCCACACCTCTCCCAGCTTCCCACCAGCATCACCTCTGTTCCAGTGCAACACTCCATCAGGCTTCCCACGAGAAGCTCTCTCAAGTTACCCAACCCCACAGTGACCACACACACAGCAGCACCTTCTCCTGTTTAAGCCATTCCCGAAATCCAGGTGAATTGTCCATCGTTTCTGTTGTGTATTTTCTGTCACAGCAGCAATCAGCCCCTCCTGACACTACCTTTTCCAGTCTGGAATACCCCTTGGTCTAGTTCACATTGCTTCTCCTGGCTCCTGGTGTCTAGAAGAGGATGGAAAACTGGGAAGTCCTCAATTAGGGTTAGTGCTGCTCAGCAACAACTAACATCAGCCTGTTCTCAATGCTGTTCTCAGACTAAAGCCAACACACAACTGTCAACCAGCTACTAGAAAGAAAACCAACTGCATCCCAGCAAAACCCAGGACAGGGGCATCCCACCCTGAGGGAGATGCTGGTGGCAGCCCTCTGCAATCCAGAGAGCTCAAAGTAGCCCTGGAATTTTCCAAGTTCCAGTAACAATTCCACTCAGGCTATGAGCAAGGTTGAGGAATGTTCCCAGGCTGTCAGGGGATGACTGATTCTTCCCACTGTCACTGCCCTCCTTAGCCATCAAGCATCAAGGGGTGCTTCACCACCAAGGCCAAGGCCTGAAGGGAATTCCTAAAATCCCAGAGCAGCCCCAAGGGAGGGAATGACCCACCACAATACTTCCAGTTGCAATCTGAGAGGAAGAAAGGAAAAAGAAAGCACAACATCACACATACCCCACCACCCTCTGCTTCAGCAAGTGCCCAGGAGCCCAGGAACTGGAATAGGAACAAGGGCTGCCAGGGCAACTAAGAATAAAGGAATCTCTTGCTATGACCCAGAAACAGCATCCAAAATCCTGTTCAGCTTACCAATAGATGGGAACACCCGCTATTAATCAAGTTACTAGAGCTCACTAATGCTGCCACACAGCAGCTCCCTAAATGACTCTGATTACTTGATTCTAGCAGCCACTATTGTGCTGGAGTAACTCAGCCGTGTTGCTGATTGACATGAGCAAACATCTTTGTGCTATAAAGGAACAAGCTCTGGGTGATGCTGAAACATCAGATTAACCAGCTCTCTTTACAACAGGTGACTGCAATCAAACCCCACCTTGACATACGCATCCTTACTATGTGCCATTTGCACGTGGCTAGTAAGGGTTTGTTGCCCTTGAGAAACAAGCAACCAACCCCCCTACCAGCATGTTCAAATCCCAAATCAATACCTACACAGCCACGGTACTCCATAGCCACCCACAGGAGACGCTGCAGTAACTAATGAATAGTGATTCCATTTCTAATTCCATCACTGGAACCTGGTTGCTTCATACCCTGACATGGGAAAAATCCTACACTATCCCAAAGGATTCCTTTTCTGGCTGCCATTAACGACAACAACCATCCCAACTGAAGGTCCAGTTGGACAAGTACCTGATTTGCAGATGCTGCCAAAACAGCTTAAGGGGAAGCAAACAGTAGTGCTTACAGCACTTGAAAACCCAAGTGATGTGCAGCCCAGGGACCTGTACAGAGGAGGTGGCTTCTGTTTTGTTGCACATGAATAGCCATACAATTTATGTATAGTTAAAAATAAACAGCTTCTGGTGCCATGGGAAACTGTGGTTGGAATTCTGGTGCAAAACAGCTTCCAGGCTGCAGCTAGGGAATAAAAAACAACAAACTAGAAAGAACACAGGAGTGCTCAAGCCAGGATCAGGCACCCACTGACACTGGAACATTCCCTCTTTGTGCCCTGCTTTGGACTACATCCACACAATGCCGGAACAGGCAGACCTTCCAGCTCGTAGATGTTAATGACACCAAATCCGTATTAGGACATTATTTAGGGACAACACAGCAGAGCAATTGTGCACATGAGAATGACAGTTCTAACTATACTTAAGCAGTATTTGGGCACTGAAAACCTACTGGCCATCACAAAAGGCTGAAATGCCTTCAAAAACCTGCCCAATCCCTTTGCTTCAGCAATCGAGTACTTAAAATCCAGCTGAATGGGAAGCTGAATTTCCTGCTTTCCTTTCATTCCAGGGTTGACTCCACATAAACCCCAGTCCCTGACATTTCTACATAATACCATCAGGAGAAAGGCACCGGGGGTTTGCTATGGCAACCCAACAGGAACTGCTCCTGTTTCCAGCATCTCCAACACAAGGATCCTAAAGATAAATCATCTCTTCATGATTCCATTGATTATTTGCCCAGCTTTTGACTGAGAGCCCTGTTCAAATTCAATTTCTTCTTGCTCAAATGCATCTGCCTTTTCCCCCTCAATTTCCTTTCTGCCATTTGCTGTGGGTGTTTCATTACCTTGACAGACTGAAGTGCAGTACAACATAAACCCAACATACAGCCATGACAAACACACTGCTCTGGATCTATTCTCTGTCATCTCTCAACCTCATTAACACAAGGTTCTGGCTTTAAACTTCAGTGCTCTTCCCTCTCTGATAATGCTCTCTCAGTGATGTACAACCAGCTCTTACTAAGACCTTCACTTCAGCAAGAGTTGGACATGTGGTGGGTTTGCAGTCTGACCATCTGGGAAACTGAATCCCTGGATGATGGGTGCTGGTCGTTCAGTCAGCTGCTGAAGCCAAGGGAGCCTGGTTTCTGAGTCAGGTGTCAGAAACAGGACTCTGGGAATATAAACTATGGAATTATATATATTAACAGGGAGAGCAATCGGGTTAACTCTGCCATGTAATCTTTGCCTAGCTTTTAGATGCTCAAACTGCAATTATCCTTTGGTCAAAGGAGGGGATTCTCCTCCTATGCTCTGCTCTGGTGAGACTCCCCCCTGCAATCCTGCATCCAACTCTGGGGTCCTCAGTACAAGAGGGACATGGAGCTGCTGGAGCATGTTGAGAGGAGGCCACAGAGCTGCTGCGAGGGCTGGAGCAGCTCTGCTCTGGAGCCAGGCTGAGAGAGCTGGGCTGGGGCAGCCTGGAGAAGAGAAGGCTCCTGAAGGGGAGACCTTAAAGGAAGCTTATGGGAAAGAAGGTGAGAGACTTTTTACAAGGGCCTGTAATATCAGGACAAGCACAGCATCATTTTTGCTGCATTATGTGCAGGAACAATGGGACAGAGGTAAGGCTTCTGCTTGCTCTGCTAATTCTGACCCATTACTTGCTGCATCCTGTCACCTTTTCAGGCTCAGTGCGCACTGTGTGTTTGTGGGTGCATCTCTGTGCTGGAAAACCAGTCACCCCAGTTTCCATTTCCTAGAGCTGCCACTCCTGGAGTAGCCAGAGGACACAACTGCTGCAAAATCAGCTCTTAAACCAAAGCAAACTTTGCCCCTTGGCCTGAAGTTAAAGGATAACAGAGATGGACAGGAGGTCGATGCTTGGCAAATACGAGCCGCATGCAGTGGGCAGACTGCTGTACCTGTGGGGATTCTGGTCTGCTGATGCACAGCTTCAGCTTTAAGGGCTTCTTTACACAGAACAAAACCAAAAGCACACTTGGAAGCAACCAGAGGTAAGTATTTAGTGCTAGTCTAGGAAACCCCTCCCTCTGGAGTTCAGGGAACTGGGGAGGTTCTTGTCCCCACAACTGACTGGTTTTCCCTACCAGCCAGTCATTTCCTTTGCTCCAGTGCTCCACGAACAACAGCTTGTAAGAAAAGTGTCAGGTTTTAACCAGTTCTGTGTCCTCAGCCAGCACGCAGATGGTTCAGTCTCTATTTAATAGCAATGTCAATAGGAATGTGATTACACGTTATCTCAATGCCTGTTACAACATGCAGCTCTTGGCCTCAGTGTTTCCCAATTGTGCCCCAGGCTTTTAAAGATAAAAAGGAGCATCCAGTCCAGATTATGAATTCTCTTTCCTCCCCTTGTATAAAGGGCTTTGTTATTTGAGAGTGAGGCAGGAAACACCTCCCTGGTGCTCCTTTCTTCTACTTGTCACAATAGTGCTGACCCCAACACCCCCAAGGCAGACATCCCACTAATGCCATGACAAGAAGCAGCCCAAGCCAAACCAAAATGCTCCTCAGCAACAAGCCATACTGACAACTGCTCTCCAGGACTAAATGGGGGCAGTGACACTGTGCCAGAAGAATATGGACCAGAACAAGGGCAAAAGCTCTGTGTTGATGTGCTGTTAACAAGTACAGCTTGGCAGCACACCAGCATAGGGAAGAAGTGGTAACACCTCCAAATGTACCCAAAATGCAGATGTCTTTGTGGTTTTGGACTCTGAATTCCCACAGTAATGGAGATGCTGAGGTACTATTTGCTAAGAAAACCTCTTATAGCTTTTAGAACAGAAATTAATCAGGACTTAAACACCAAGGAGAGTCAGCATCAGCTCTTCTAAACCAGAGGTTTGGACCAGAACTTCCATCTGCCCCACTGTGGGCTCCTGGAAGCAAGATCTTGCTCCATCTCTAACTTAAAGCCAAATGACAAAAGCCTCCAGCTTCCAAGGACACCCCTTCTCCTCTGAATATTCAACAGCTGCCTTTGTGTC